TGCAAAGGGAATTCAGAGTCACCCTGGAACAAGAGTGTAAAGGCTCCCCTGGGAGCGAGACAGAACACTCATCTTCTGAGCCCACAGATAAGCCATCTGTCCAAAGCCTGGATTTCAGAGTCAAAACGACAGTTTAATTAACCTAAGAGTCTGAGCCACAGAATCTTCTAGAATGTGACTATGCATAAGCTAAGTATCAACACTGGCATCCGCCTCAACCATGCATAGAGAAGGCACCAAGCAAACACTTGTGTGGTAGGGAAACAGTGACCTGTGGTGGATGCTGGACCCAGCAGTGCTGGCAAGGGGCCCATTTGCAGGAGCCCCTCAACCTCAGGGAGCCCTTCAATCACAGTGCCCATTTCTCAGCCACGATCAACCTACAGGAAAATCAGCACAGGTGGGCATATCGGGGCAGAGCCCAAAAGTGTGGACTCTTTCACCCAAAGGGTCACCTCACAGCAAGTCTTCAAGGACACTCTCTAAGAAGGAACATTCCTGAGACAGTTATCCTGCCGTAGATGCCAAGGAAAGCCCAAAGATCCCAAAACATCCATCCTTGGAGGCCTCAGGAAGGCACTGTGAAGAGTCACCCTCGTTGGCTCATTTACAATAAGAGTTCACTTTCACGTGCCCAGCAGGCAGCTATAGGCATCACCGAGGCTCTCAGGGAAATGTTAGCCTAATGGAAGGAGGAGACAGTAAATCAAAAGGAAACAGAATGAACAGGATGATTTCCTAGAGCCAAGGAGCTGGACTGGAACAAAAAGGGACTTGGAGGGAGGTGTCCAGTGGAAGGAGGGGTGGGGTGGAGCAATCCCTGGGGGAGGCACATTAAAGGGAGGGCTCCAGTGTGTGACGGAGCCAGCATGACAGGTGAAACAGGGACTAGGCGTTAGGGACATGGTAGGAACAAGCAGGGGACAGTCCCAGACCCTCAGGGAAATGGCCAGGAGAGGAGAGCTTAGCCCTGCCCCTCGCTCGCTCTGGCATCCAGAGTGGTGCTCAGATCTCTCCCTTCAGATCTTGTTCTTGCTGCAACGTCTTCAGCATGAGGTTTGGAGGCTGAACCAACAACTGAGGGACTGGACCTTCCCCCCCCCCACCTCAGCCCCCAGGACTATAGACTGAAAAACATTTTCTTTGTAAGTATCCGGCACGGGTATTTAGTTATAGTAACTGAAAACAAAACTCAACAGAAGAGCGGCGTTTTCCAGGCATTCCCAAGACTCAAAGACAGCATTGGAAATACTGAAAGCCGCTGGGCAGCCAAGCCAAATGAGAAATAGACACAGTTGCACAATGTTGCCATCCGCTTTCAGGGTTTCTGTTGCTTTTCAGCCCAGGTTGACCTCTAGTCTCAGCCTCCCAAGTACTGAAATACAGATAAGATACCTGGCTCACAGTCTTTGGTTTTTACTTACATTAGTAGCAGACTTTCTTCCATCAATTCCTCAAAAAGACAAAAAAAGACCTTTTTTTTGAAAAGTTACATTTACAAACTGTCTTAAGTGAACCAGACACAATGGCATACGCCTATAGTCCTAGCACCAAAGAGGCAGAAAATAGGAGGGTCATGAGTTCAAGGCCAGCCTGGGCTATTTAGTGAGACCCTACCTCTAAAATGAACAAAACCTAGGCATAGAGGTGCATGGCTGTAATTATAGCGCTCAGGAAGCAGAGGCAGGAGGATTGTCCCAAATTTGTGGCCAGTTGGTATACATAGACCAGCCAAAGCTATATAGTGAGAACCTCTTTGAAAAAAAAAAAAAAACCACAATTCATGGCTCAGTGGTTAAGAGTACTTGCTGCTCTTCCAGAGGACCAGAGTTTGGTTCCCAGAATTCACATTGGGTGGCTCACAACCACCTGTAACTCCAACTACAGGTGACCTGGAGTCTCTGACCTGGATCCAAGGGCATTACACTCATGTATACACACACACAAATATATACACACACACAGAGTCTAAAAGTAATAATAAAGCTGGCTGCAATGCTCACACCTTTAATCCCATCACTTGGGAGACAACGGCAGGTGAATGTCTTAAGTTTGAGGCCAGCTTAGATCACATAGAGAGCTCCATCTCAAAATAAAAGTAATAATCTTTTTTTTTAAAAATCATCATTTCTGATGTCATAAGGGTTTGTTTGTTTGTTTGAGACAGACTCACAAGGTAGCCTAGAACTCGCTCTGTAGCCAAGAATGACCTTGAACTTCTGACCACCCCCCTGCCTCCCAAGTGCTGGGCTGACAAACACGCCCACCACACCTCACCTCACCTTGTTTATGCTGTCTGTGGTCAGGTACTCTGCCAACTGAGCTACATCACAGCAGCCCGGCTACCTCAGTTTAATCCACACTCTCACTTTGCCTCTTCTTTTAAAACAACCATGTGGTACCATCTGGTTTCCTTTTTCTGACTGCCTGGGTCCCTGCTAAGGACTTAGCTGTGTAGGACCATCTAGGGCTGCCAGGTTCAAGGAAGAGCTCTGTGCCAGCTACTAATACCTTGCAGACACGACTTAAGAAGGAAGACTTATGTTGGCTCACAGTTCCAGGGGGTCTCAGTCCATCACTGCTCGGTAGGCATGGTGGAGCCGCTAGTTCATGACTGCAGGAGCCTGTGGCAGAGGCTGTCCACATCATGGCAGACCAAGAAACAAACAGCACAGCAAAACCTGGGGCAGGTCCTACCCTCACTCCTAGTGACCTGTTTCTGCTAGCCGTGCCTTACTTCTGAAAGCATCCACAGTGTTCCAGAAGGGGGCCACCAGTGAGGGACACACAACTGAAACATGATGCTGAGTGTGACTTCTCAGAGCCACACCACCGCAAGCCACTAACCCCACTTGAACACTGGTAGGGTTCCCTGTCCAAATGGCTTCACAAACCAGCGATCAGTGCCAGGATGTGATGGTCACAGCTTTGCGAGACCAGAGAGAGGATTTGTGAGACCCTGCCTGGTGACTCGGTAAAAGCTATGCTGCATGTTCCATCATCCTGTTTCAAGAGCCTGGGTCTTTCAACTTTTTAAAAAATATTTATTTATGTATTTGAGTGGCCTGCCTTCATGCACACCAGTGGAGGGAATCAAATCACATTACAGATGATTGTGAGCCACCATGTGGTTGCTGGGAATTGAACTCAGGACCTCTGGAAGAGCAGTCAGTGCTCTTAATCACTGAACCATCTCTCCAGCCCCAACTTGTTTTTCTAATCTCCCTCCAATTCCTATCTATTCCCTTCCTCCCTGCCAGCCCTTTTCCCTGACTCATGACTTTTGGTTTTGTTTTCTGCTCCATTTAATTTAACCAGGACAATACTACTCATTGGAACCTGGTAGTCTCTAGTGAACACACAACTGGAGACAATGACTCCCCCCTTCCCCTGGATCTACCAGTAGCAAATAGTTCGCAGTGATAGGTAGAGCCCCTAAGCCTCTCCTCCAGCCATGCCTGACTAGACAGCCTCATTCCTGTGGGTAACCACAACCGCTGTGAGAGTTCATACTATGATGGCCGTATGGTTCCCAGAAGATGTATAACTCTAGCTTCAAGAAATCCAGCGCCCTCTTCTGGCCCCCAGGTCCACTGCAAGCACATGGTGCACAATGCAGGCAAACAGTCATACACATAAAATAAAAATATTTTTTTGTTATTGTTTGTTTTTTGAGACAAGGTTTCTCTGTGTAGCCATTGCTGTCCTGGAACTCACTCTGTAGACCAGGCTGGCCTCAAACTTTCAGAGATCCACTTGCCTCTGCCTCCCAAGTACTGGGATTAAGGCGTGCACCACCAAAATTATTACCAAAGGTATTTCCTGAACCATAGAGATGAAGGGTAAAGGTGTTTGCTGTACAACGTTAGTCACCTGAGTTCACTCCTCTCAACCCACATAAAGATAAAATAAAGGGGACAGGAGAGATGGCTTAGAGGTTAAGAGCACTGGCTGTCCTTCTAGAGGTCCTGAGTTCAATTCCCAGTAACCACATGGTGGCTCACAACCATCTAGAATGAGATCTGGTGTCCTCTTCTGACTTACAGGCAGGTAGAATACGGTATATATAATTAATAAAATGAAAAATTGTCCTCTGACCTCTGTACACACTCCGCCAAGGCATTTTGGAAACTAAGTTTTGTTTCTGCTTACTTCCAACTTCAAAATTTTGCTGAATATTTTAATTTTGAAAGAGCTCTACAACCAACAAAGAGGTTTCACAAACAACACGAAAAGACCTAGAGATGATGAGGTAGAGGCTGGGGGAAGCTTCAATAACACTGGCCCCGCCTGATCTAAAGGACAGCAGCGGATCAGCCAGAATGTTCTCTGCGCACAAAGACCAATCATGTACCCAAAGAGACTACAAGGAATCCCCAGACTTCCCCATCACAGAGCTCAGTACCCACACCCAGCTGCCTATGACTGGATGGGGATGTCTTAGTTACTCTTCTGGTGATGCGCCAAGACACCACAACCAAGGTGAGTTACAGGAGAGCTTATTTGGAGCTGACGGTTTCAGAGGGTCTGTGACCATGACGGTGGGGAGCACAGGTGGAGAAGCGGGGGGGCACTCGTCTTCAAGCACAACCGTGAGGCAGAGACACTGGGAATGGCCTGAAACTTCCACCCTCTCCCAGTGACACGTTCCTCCAGTGAGGCCACATCTCCTAATCTTCCCCAACCGGTCCACACACTGGGGACCAAGCATTTAAACATGCAACATTCTTCTTCCAAGTCAACTCGAAAGAGAATCCTACCTTGATCTTGTGACCACCCAACACTCTGTAGACACAGAGGCCCCTACTTTATCCTGTTACCCAGCTACACTCCAAGTCCGTCCGTCAGTCCGTCCATCCGTCCCCCCTCTTCCTCCCTTCTCGTCCTTTGAGAATGCTTGTCTTAGGGACAAGTCAGAGAGGGTCAGGTTTTCTTCAACATTCTTATCTGTAACAGTATCTCTTCCATACTCTATATACCACCCCCTTCCTCCAACCTACCTTTCCGGGACAGGCCAGTAAGGATGACCAGCCAAGGCCCTTCTGCCTGGGAGATTAAAAGTGCTTTGCCATCAGTGAACTTCATCCCACTTTTGCTGGCTGCTCAGCTCCTCATATGTCTGAAAAGAATGAGAGGAGGAAGAACATTTAAAACACAGAATTTCCAAAAACGGGATATATCTCAGGGCAGTAGACACGGCTCAGCCAGAGTGCTTGGCTAACTGCAAAAGTCCCCAGCACTGCAGGGAGCCATTCCATCTAGGTTTCCCATCTCCTAAGCCAATCTTACTTGGCTGGGTCTTTCTTGCTCGCTACCTGGGTCAATGCCACCCCAGCTCCCTTTGGTGGCACAGAATCATTTCCAGACCTGAAGTAGGAGTGTACACACAGGTGATTCAGATGGTCTTTCAGAGCTGTTTGTTCGTTTGTTTTTGTTTCTGAAAGCAAAGTTAATAGATCTGAGCCATGTTTGAGTTTGAATTTCATCTCATGGCTGAAAAAAAAGTAGGTTTCTGAACTTTAGACCTTGACTCCCCATGAGGATCTGTTTTCAAAGTCAGGTCTAAAGGAAAAGTCATTCCTGTTGGGCTAGAGGCTAAAAAGGGGGGCTGTGAGAAGAGGGGAGCACTCCTAAGAACCTGGTCCCGAAGAGGGGGATAACTTACGCCCTGGTCCCGAGCATCTGTGCAGCGGGGCTCCCTGAGCCTCCATCACATTAGGCAGAGTGGCACAAAACAAACTCAGAAACTACTGGCTTCTCCATAAGACAAAAGCAAAGCCCTCGGGAGTCCACTAGAAACAGTGTGTTCTATAGACACACATTTCCCAGGGTCCGGGCTGAAGTCCTCTAGCGTGCCAACCACAACCCGTGCTCAGCAACGCTGCTGTGAGCCTGGGCAGGTGGGTGTGGATACCCCAGTTCAGCATCCAGGGAGGACCACTGGGCTTTCCAAGAAACTCTGAGCAGAGCCACCCGAGGCTTTAGCCAAAGACTAGAAGAAGAAATAGCTTACATGCTGACCCCCGAAAATAGCAAACAGTAGTAAGACAGACCCAAGGAAACCTGAAGTAAGTGTGGAAAGAAGGCGCTTTGACAAATGGGAAAGACAAAGCAGAAAGCATGATGGAGCTCAGAGGATTGCATCCTCAGGAATTCAGGACGGGAGATAAGGAGCCAGGAAAAAATGCACTGGGGGTTCGTAGGAATGAGTTAAGTCCCACGGTGGAAGGAGGACAGGACCTCCAGGTCTGGGTATGACTTCTGTCAGCCCCTCTTGTTTCAAGGGCAAAGCTAGGGAGGGACCAAGCTTGCTGACTGCTGGGCTGGGAATCGGGGACAGGGGGAGGGGGGACGGGGGAGAGTGCACCGAACTGCTTTGGTTCCTGAGAAGTAAACAGCTCAGCTCGCCCTAAGCAAACGCGTCCTTGTCCTGGGAGCCCAGCCGGCTGAGGGTCTGGCTCATCCCGTCAAGGGCGGCTGAAGACACACCCAGGATTCCATCCTCAGAGAGTCACAAAAAGGCGCAACTCAGCACTCTACCCACCACCACCACCACCACCACCACACACACACACACACACACACACACACACACACACACACACACACACACAGAACAGGGAATCCGCGACCCTATGTATGGGTCGGCCTCTCCAGTGGGGTGCTGTTGCCTCCACGCTCCTGCCTCTCCTAAGCCCCTCCACCCTGGACTCCTGATGACCTCTTACCCTGCCCACCCAAACCCAGGCCAACAAAGCCCAGTGCTGGGCGGGGCAGAGCATCTGGCCAGTGGTGGTGGGGGAAGTACAGGGACCCCACAGACGCCCGCATAGGTGGGTTTCGTACCCGGTGTCGGTGGCAGGGGCGGGCTCCGTCTCCCTGGAGACAGTTGCCCAGGGGATACGGCGGGAGGGTCCCGGAGTGACCGGAGGGCGCCAGCCTCCTGGCCCGTGTGCAGCCCGCAGGGGTGGCGGTGAACAGCGAGCCGGGCATCAGCGGAGGGGCGCGGCCCGGGGCGGGGCTGAACAACGAGCTGGAGAGGGCGACCGGGCGGGGCGGGGCGCGGTCGGAGGCGGAACATCCCGGAGATGGGGCGGGACCAGAGCCCGTTGTACCACTGAGCAGTTAGCAAGCATTAATACCCCAGGTCTGGGGAGGAGAAATAGCAACCCGGCGCTGTGAAGTGGAGACTCCTTGGCTGCTCTTGCAGGAGGTCAGGGGCTGAAGCAGGGGTCTTCAGGGTTCTCCCCATCTCCCCATCACAGAGCCCCAGAACAACAGAGTGATCCCGGATGGCAAGCATAGGCAATCCTAGCTAGGATCTTTTACAATTAGCGGATAGACGGCGCTGTTTATAAAGTGAGATCCACCCAGCCTCTTTCGGTCTTAGTTTGTTTTCTATTGCTGTGATAAAACAGCCTGACAAAAGCAACTTGGGGAGGAAAGGGTTTATTTGGCTTACATATTCCTAGTCACAGTCTACTGAGAGAAACCGAAGCAGGAACTGAAGCAGAAGCCATGGAGGAATGCTACTTATAGGCTTACTCCCTATGTCTTGTTCAACCTGCTTTCCAAGGATCACTGGGAACCACCTACCAAGTGTGGCACTGCCCCCAGGGAGCTGGGCCCCATCAACCATTAGTCAAGAAAATACCCCCCCCAACTTACCTACTATGTAGGAGGTGTTTTCTCAATTGATGTCCCTCTGCCCAGATAACTCTGGGTTATGTCAAGTTGGCAAAACAAAACAACCACCACCACAAAACTCCCCAACTACCAGGACTCTGCCCCCTTGGTTCTGAGGGCATCCCCGGGAAGGGCAGAACATTCAGACCTGCGTCAGCCCTGGAGTTGCTGGGCCCCCAGGATTCCGTGAGTCTGGACTCTGGTTGTGCCTGTCAGTGGGAAATCCCACACCACATGGAATTAGAAACAAGTGATTTATCCAAGACTTTCGCTCCACATCTGAGTTCTTTACAACAGCTACGCTGTCCTAGGGCTGGGGTTCCATCTAGGAACCTATATGGTAGGTCTACTGTTCTCCCTGGGACAGTAAATGAGGAAACCCAGGGTACCCTCCCGTGCACACACCATCCTCACAGCCTTTCTGTTGTGCTTCATTTTAGTGAAGGGCATTTGCATTTAGAGCCGTGGGTGTGCTGAGCCAGCAGTAGTATCAATCCTTATGTCCCCACAAGGTCTCACTGTGTAGCCCCGGCTGCCCTGGGACTCATTAGGTCGATTAGGCTAATCTCGAACTCACAGAAATCTGCTTCCACTGCCTCCCAAGTTTTGAGACAGATTCACTAAGTCACCCAGACTGGCCTGAACTCTCCAGCCTCAGTTTCCTCAGCAGCTACAGGCCCAGTTCACACAGCAGAAGTAGCACGGAACCCATTTGGTTTTGCATTGCACCTATGAACCTCTTGTTTTACCCTGTCTTCTTATGTTCTGAGACTTCATCCTTTGTGGAAAGTGGAGCTCAGAGGAGAAAGGGGTTCCAGGCCCACAACTGCCCCAGATGAGGCCAGGCTCATCACTGGTTGTCACTGAGTCCTAGGAATGGCTGGGCAGTGGTGGTGCACACCTTTAATCCCAATACTCTGGAGGCAGAGGCAGGTGGATCTCTAAATTCAAGGCCAACCTGGTCTACAGAGTGAGTTCAAGACAGCCAAGGCTACCTAGGAAAACCCTGTTTCAAAGAAACAAACAGAGTCCTAGAAAGGTCCCTGAGTTAGTGAAGAATTAAAAGCCAAAAGTTGGGCCAGAAGTTCCCAGGGACTGTGGAGCCCAGCATGGGAGGACTAGGCTGCTGAGATGGCCAGGATGTGGGAGGTCCCCAGGCAAGACTTAAAAAGCCCAGGCCAGGAGCTTCCCACGGCCCCAGCATCCCTGCCTAGGCCTTGGTGCAGGAGCACCCTAGGAGGAGAGCTAGAGACGGCAGGATGTAAATTCATTCCCAGCACCATGTCTGGATGTCCCATACATCTTAGCTTCCATGTCCAGACGTCTTAAAGACAACACCACTAGCTGGGCATGATTGTGCTTTAATCCTAGCACTCAGGAGGCAGAGGCAGGGAGATCTCTGAGAGTTCAAGACCAGCCTAGTCTACAAAGGGAGTTCCAGGTCAGTCAGGGCTACAGAATGAGACCCTGTCTCAAAACAACACAACAAGATAAAAGCAAGATTATCTCCCCAGGAACTATTAATGTAAACACTTGCTGTGTTTGCCCCAAGGACGCAAGGAGCAAGTATCGCTCACAAGCTGATCTCTGCAGCAGATGGAACCAGGGCCACTGGGTGGTCAGCCCGATGATAGTATGGGGACCGCCCAGGGTCCTGCCCCTTGGAGCCCTCTAGGCTTGTAAGTGAGTCTGGGAGTAGAGCCATCCTCGGTGAGCAACCTGGAGATTCTGAGCCCAACTAAGTTCTCCAAGGCTCAGTGAAGCCTGGGTCTCCTAGGCTATACAGACCCCGGAGTAGACCCCAGAGTCCAAAGAAAGTCATGGCTCTCTCTTGAATGAGGAGATGGAGAGGGAAGGAATTCAGACAGCAGCCTGGGTGCAGAGGAGAGAGAACTCTCACAGGTTAGCAAGTCCCACAGTTAATGAGTGTCATCCACCAATGAGATTTTTCAAAGCAGAAAAACTCCAAGGTCCTCTACACCTACTTCTCCATGTGTGGGGGCTCCCCTCGCCCCACGGGAGCCATGCATGGTGCTACCCTTCCCCCCAATTTCACTTTTTTCTGATAGCATAGGTTTGAGTGAATTCTAGACTCAAAGACAAGATCCCCATTAACAATGAACCCCAGTGCCTAGCTTGGGGTGCAAAGTGAACAGTCAGGTACTAATTTCTCTTGGGAGTCCAGGCAGAAGAACAGGATTTCTTTGAAATGGCAAAATCCACAAAATGGTGACATGTCTGTATCATAAAAATATGCCAGAACTGTACTGGCAAATATGGAAAAGATAGAAATCTTTAAAACATTGGGAAGTCCAGAAAAATGGCCCAATGGGTAGAGATTTTAGCCATGCAGGCCTGACAACCTGGTTTGCCCCAGAACCCTTGTAAAAGTAGAAGGAGAAAGCGAACTCTGCAAAGCGGTTCCCCGTCCTC